TCTTAAATAATTGTAATTAGGGAAAGGAAAGAAGAAAATATTTCTCTGGCAGGTGCAATGCTCTCTTTCTTGGAATCAGCGTGGTGATTAGGGAGAAGGAAGGATGGAGCACCACTTAAAGTATGTGAGAGAAGAAACACTGTCTCCCTCTCCCGGGGCATGTTCTCCCCCAGAAGCTTGAACTTCCAGGCACATGAGTCCCTACTCCCACACCTCCTGAATATGAGTGAGTGGGGTAGCAACCTGACACATGGGGTTGGAGTACCACTCAGCTTTGGCCAAGCCAAAAACTGGTTAGGCCTCAGCCTTGGTGTCCCCATTAGCTGCCTGGCCTATCCTTCTAATGGCAATAGCTTGAGGATGTTCAAGTGGTTCCAGTTGGAAATGAATTACTGGGCACAACCCGGTCAGGGTGGCCAAAAGAACATCATAAGTTGCATTTATCCCATTGCATTGCTATTTATTATATAGATGTCAAAACTACAGCTATGTTGCATGCACTATTATTATTTAAACACCAGGGATTAAAAGCAATCAGACTCAGAAAAGAATACAAAAGAAAGGATAAATAAATAGGAAATCTTAGTGGTGGAAAATCTAAATTATAGCTATATAAAAACAAAAACAAACAAAAAAAAAACAGTGTTTCACTTGCAGTATTTTTGTCCATTCTCTCTCATCCAAACATTATAGAGTAGGAAGCCAAATTACATAATGGTTACTTTCTTCAATTTGAATACAACATAAAAATCACATTTTATGTTGCCGATTCAGGATGCAGACAATTAGAAAAGACTCATCTCGCTAGATCTCTCCGGAATAGAAGACCTGAATCCAGATCAGATGAGAAACAATAATACATAGATACAACAGAAAGAGAGAGAGAGAGTTGATAGATTCATCCTGTATTGCAGTGTTGAATTCACCAGTAATAGCCAACCACTGCATTAATTTGCTACTTAGCAATTACTACAAACTTAATGCAAAAGACAAAATGCAAATATTGTCATCAGGCATAAACAAATGCTTCTTGAACAAGATTATTTTGTTCAGCACAGTTGTGTGCATCTGACTCCGATGTTAACTTTGCAATACTAATAAAGTATTTTCCCCTCCAGGTTTCCTGATGGACATCCCTGGAAATTAAATTCCAGCTCACACAGAATCAGTGCAAGTTTCATCATATTGTGCTACCAGTGTCTCAGTTCTGACTTAAGGCACCTCTAGGTAATAGTGTAGTTTAGTTTCAGTATCCATTTCAGTATCCACATCAGTGCTTCTTTGCGTGTGTCTACACTGCAATAAAAGACCCACGGCACAGCCATTTTGAAGCACTTGGAAGAGGGGGAAGTGATCAAGAATAGTCAACATGGTTTCACGAAGGACAAGTCATGCCTGACCAATCTGATTAGCAGCTATGGTGAGGTAACTGGCTCTGTGGACATGGGGAAGTCCTGGGATGTGATATGCCTTGACTTCAGCAAAGCTTCTGATACAATCTCCCACAATATTCTTGCCAGCAACTTCAGGAAGTATGGATTGGATAAATGGACTGTAAGATGGATAGAAAACTGGCTAGACTGTCAGGCCCGATGGGTAGTGATTAATGGCTTGATGCCAGGTTGGCGGCTGGTTTCTAGCAGAGTGTCCCACAGATCTGTTCTAGGACCGATTTTGTTCAACATTTATATTAATGACCTGGATGAGGGGATGGATTGTACCCTCAGCAAGTTTGCAGATGACACTAAGATAGGGAGAGAGATAGATATGTAGGCGGGCAGGAATAGCGTCCAGAGTGACCTAGAAAGATTAGAGGATTGGACCACAAGAAATCTGATGAGGTTCAACAAGGACAAGTGCAGAGTCCTGCACTTGGGATGGAAGAATCCCAAGCATTGTTACAGGCTGGGGACCAACTGGCTAAGTAGCAGCTCTATAGAAAATCCACTGGGGATTACAGTGGATGAGAAGCTGGATGTGCGCCCTTGTAGCCAAGGTGGCTAATGGCATATTGGGATGCATTAGGAGGAGCACTGCCATCAGATCTAGAGAAGTGATTATTCCCCTTTATTTGGCTCTGGTGAGGCCACATTTGGAGTAGTGTGTCCAGTTCTGGGCCGTACACTACAGAAAGGATGTGGACGCGTTGGAGAGGGTCCAGCAGAGGGTAACCAAACTAATTAGGGGGCTGGAGCACATGACCTATGAGGAGAGGCTGAGGGATTTGTGTTTGTTTAGTCTACAGAAGAGAAGAATGAGGGAGGATTTGAGAGCAGCCTTCAACTTCCTGAAGGAAGGTTACAAATAGGATGGAGAAAGGCTGGTCTCAGTAGTGACGGATGGCAGAACAAGCAGCAATGGTCTCAAGTTATAGTGGGGGAGGTCTTGGTTGGATATTAGGAAAAACTATTTCTCTAAGAGGATGGTGAAGCACTGGAATGGGTTACCTAGGGAGGTGGTGGAATCTCCATCCCTAGAGGTTTTTAGGTCTCGGCTTGACAAAACCCTGGCTGGGATGATGTAGTTGGGATTGGTCCTGCTTTGGGCAGGCGGCTGGACTAGATCATCTCCTGAGCGCTCTTCCAGCTCGATGATTCTATGACATGCACTCACAGAGCTCAGATAGCAGGGCTAAAAATAGCAGTACTATAGACATTTGGGCTCAGGCTGGAGTCAGAACTAGGAGATCCACCCTGGTCATGGTTTTTCAGCAGTTTCCAACCTGAATCAGAACATCTGCATTGCAATTTTTAGCTGCACAGCTCATCCCCATCAGCTAAAAGGTCAACTGACTGAAGCTCTGAAACTCAGAGCCACGAGTTTATTTCAAGTGGACATACCCTTGGTTGAGACTGCAAATAAGATTCTGACTGATGTGAAAACCTGTTCAGTAAGGATTCAAGTGAGGCCAACAGTTCACTTGACCTGAGGCACTAAACAGACTGGAAATTGGAACTACTTTTTGTTGCTGTCAAACTGGGTTGGATTCATTTCATTGACTTACTGAACAAGGAGGAAGTGAGTTTTAATGGCATCTGTTTATAAGCAGGTATCTTAGATAAACACTATCGTGGTGAATTCACAATTAATTTCTACCATTAGCAAGCCAGGATAATGGGCAAACCTACTGCAGGAAATATACTAATTTGTTCAAAGTTATTCAAAACCAACTTATTGCATCTTTCACTTTTACTCAGATTTGTGTGCGCTCTGGTAACTCCTCTGATGTATCAGATTCAGAAAAAATATTCTGCCACAATTTCTGCAGAGATCCTCTCCTCCCTTCTCTCTCTCTCTCACCAGCACCAGTCCCGTACATGCAATTTTTCAGTGCTTAAAAGACCCAAAATATTGACAAGGCTTTTATAAAATCTGGCCCAAAATAATTGTACATTCTCCTATTTTTCATTCTAGTTTAAACCGTATCTGCCATGAACATAGATAGAGACAGAGTATTTTCCAATATCAAAAAATGGCTGGAGCACCTAGATTTCATAAATATTGCTGCTGCACATGAGTAAGAAACTGAAAATTCAGGTCAACTCACAAATCAGAACAGTCAATTTATTTGTCTTTAAAATTCTCATCAGAAGTATGGCTATTCACAGTGATGTCAGATGTGGAGAAGTTTGTGGGATATATTCCACTTCAAATTAGTTCGAGCACCATACTAAACTCAGTGTATGTGTGTAGTAGAAATGCTACGGTGCTATTGCATGCAGTATAGACACTTATTAGAATGATGGAAGCGGTTCTCCCATCGCTGTAGGTAATCCACCTTCCTAAAAGGCATCAGCTAGGTAATTAGTTAAGCAAGAATTCTTCCATGTCCCTCAGAAGTGTGGATTTTTCACACCCCAAAAGACATAGCTTTGCCAACTGACGTTTCCAATTTAGGCCAGACTACAAACTCAGAAGCTATGTCTAGACTACAATGCTTTTATCAGAAAAAGGTACGCAAATTGCGCTACGCAATTTGTGTACCTGTTTCCGACTTTTTTCAGAAGAGGCTCTTCTGAAATTTGGCCCGTCTACACTAGGCCAAATTTTGGAAAAACCTCCTCTTTTGGAAGATCCCTTCTCTCATGGAATGAGGAAGATAGGGCTTCCGAAAGACCACGCCTGATCTTCTGCAAAAAAGGCAGAAGAGCAGATGCGTTCCCTGAACACGGCAGAGTTTTTCCAGGATACCTCTGGTATCCCGGAAAAAAACCCATAGTCTAGACCAGTGGTCCCCAATGTGGTGCCCGCGGGCGCTGCAGTGCCCGCGGGTGCCATGGCGCCCGCCAGGGCATTTGTGTGCACC